GATCACACTTGCTTGTTCGCTTTGCTTTGCTTGCTTGTTACTTGATGGTTGCTTGGTTTGCTTGTTTGCTTGCTGTTTGTTGTCTCTTCTAGTACTGATCTTCTCCTTGTAGAATTTCTTGCTTTTAGAGAGTCCTTAGTTTCCGATCGGTAGATTTGATTCTTAGGTTCGATAATCTGTTTCCTTGATGCTGGTGATGGGGTCTCGAAGAGGTAACCTTTGTGGTTTCTCAGGTCTTGACAAGGATGCTTGGTTCCTAGCTCGCGACTAGCCCAAGATGTTGCATGACGATGCAACCAGATGTATCCTCCGGACCGAATGCCTTCGTGGTTTCGTCCCGAGCGATTTGTAAAGAAAGGTAAAGGATGAGGGAACGGATCAGATTATCGATAGGATAGGGAGGAGTCTAGCGAGTCTAGATTTAGGCTAAGTCGAGTCTAGATTTAGGCTAGTCGAGTCTTAGTTGTCTTTCTTGCTTTGCTTGTTCGATTTTTATGCTTCTGCTAACGCTTTCTCTGATTCTTGCTTGTTTGTTTGGGGTTTTGGGGGGGGGGGGGAAATTGCATGATAGATTTGGGGGTATCCGGCTCACTGAGTATTAATAGAATACTCAAAGCTCAATTTTTTTACAGGTTTATTCTTATAAGGAGTCTAGACCGTAGCAAACATTAGGAGCCGGAGATAGGATATTTTTCATGTTTTTGCAAAGATATTACTTTTCTATTATGTATAATTTTCTCGATGTATCCATGATTAAAATGCTTTTGTAAACTTGTTTTGTAAAACTTTATTATAAGTAATCAAAGGAAGTTTTTGGGGAAAAACCATGGCGTTTTCGAGCTGATATAACTCCACCCCCGTCGGCTTTGTCCGGTTCGATGGGTGTGCACAACTCCTCGTTCGTGTCGTCCGGGAAAGGGGTTGCAAAGCCTCGGACTCGACAACCGGATGAAGAGGGACGGTTGGTTTGGATGCGTGCTGACTCGGGGATCCTGCCTTTCCCGTACTCCACCGTGGGAACCTCGGTCGTTCGTATCCGGCCATGCCCTCAGTAACGTGTCTGAGTCGTCTCTCGGCTTGTCCGGCCTTAGAAACGGTTCGGGGGCGTTATAGAGCGGATCTAGGTTTGGGCAAGTTCCAGTTTAACTTTGAAAATGAGGAGGATATCACCAAAGTGCTTAACATGTAGCAGTTCCATTTCGATCATTCTATGGTGGCAAAAATGAGATGGCCGCTGCCAGTCGATCCGTAGTTTCGCTCGGACATCACTTTTTGGAATCGTGTACTGAGAATCCCTCTCCAATTCTGGGCAGACCCGACGTTTAGGAGCATTGGTGAGGAGTTGGGTGCGTTTGAAGAGATCGATATTCACGGTGGTCAGGTGAAGGTGACTCTTAACGGTTTAAAACCGTTATGCTTTGAAACGGAGTTAGAGTTTGGTGCTGGCGTGGAGATCCTGGTGCAGCTAAGATGCGAAAGGATTTTCGGATTCTATAGCTCATGTTTTAGACGCTGCCATGATGAGTCGATTTGTACCAAGATGACTTTTGGTAAGGTGAATCCGTCGGGACCGGGAAGTGATCGTCCTGGGGATGAGAGAGATCGCTATAACATAAGTTATAAAGGTGCTGCTGGGCTGAACCGAGGAGGGGCTCGGATTTGGATACTAAGAAGAGAGGTTCGGACAAAGGCAAAGGGAGTGAGCATGGACATTGGGGAGAAGGGAGTAAGGTGCGATCTGGCCATTACCTTGGTGAACCATCCTATTGGGCTCGACGTTACACAAGCTACTCTCAGCTCATTGACCACCAGCAGGTTACGTATGATGAGGAAACAAGAGAGGAGACGATTGTTGAGCCCCCAGAGGCAAGATAGTCACTCTTCCAAATCGGTTCGCAAATCACTGTTTCAGAATTCTTTAGAAGGTGGGGGTGCGTCGGTGTTGCGGATGGGCTATTTAATGGGCCTATTTTTTCTGGACTTCAGGTTCAGGAGAGGGATCTAGACGGGCCTGATTTGGAAGGAAATGCTTCTGCTCGGCCGGTTGCTGGTGGGCTAGTTTATGTTGAGGAAAATGTCAACGGGCCAAAAGAGGGACATGAGATATCCATTTTGTGCAATCACGGGGAAATGAAGGGTGACAGAACACGGCGTGGTCGACCAGCTCCTCTTGTGGGGGCGAGCTCCAAGAAGTGTCTAGCACAGTTAATCATCTCACCTTGGAAACGCGTGGCACCGAAGAGCGCAGCACCTCCCGGAGGAGGAGATAACCCAAAGTCCACCAAAGCCAAATAATTTTAAAGGGGGACAAGGTGGACCAAAACAACCAAAGCCAAATAATGTTAAATGAAGGTTTTGAGTTTGAATTGCCAAGGATTAGGGAATAAGCCAACTATTGGTTATCTCCGGGATTTGTGGAAGCGTCATAAACCGGATTTTCTTTTTCTTTCGGAAACAAAACAATTGTCACATTTTATTGAAAATTTTCAAAGTCATTTTGGTTATAATAATTTAGTTATGGTTGATCCTCTAGGTTGTAGTGGGGGTTTAGCTCTTTTTTATAAAAATAATTTTACTAAAGTTGTCATTTTATTTCACTTATCTTTTGTCTATGGTGATCCTGTCCCGAACATGAGGGATATGGTTTGGGAACGGTTAACTCGTATGGGTTTAAACAGGTCCACCCCGTGGTTTGTGATTGGTGATTTAAATGAACTCACTGGGAGTCATGAGAAACGGGGGGGGGGGAGGGGGGGGGGTAAATTACGACATGCATCTTCTTTTCTATATTTTAACTCGATGATAAGAAATTGCGGATTTATTGATTTTCCATATATTGGAGACTGGTTATCATGGCGGGGTTGGCGGGACAAAATACATATTCGGTGTCGGTTAGATAGGACACTTGGTAACGAAGATTGGCATGAAATATTTTCTGATACTATTGTGGAATACTTGCCCATGATTGGGTCGGATCATAAACCAATAGTAGCATTCATAGCGGAAAAGCAGGTTAGAAGGAAGCGGAGTTTTATGTTTGATAAACGTTGGTTAGGTAAAGAGGGACTTATGGAGGCAATAGATGAAGGTTGGACTGATGTTCCGGGTAGGAGATCCAGAACTTTTATGGACAAAGTGATAAACTGTCATCGTTCAATTTCTCACTAGAGGAGTAACCAGAAAGATTTTGGTAGGGATATGATTGAATAATTAAAAGGTAAATTGGCAGCTGCACAGGCAGATGATACGAGTTTACCATCGGATATATATGTTTTGTTGAGTAGGTTGCGTGAGTCATATGAGGAGGAGGAGGTATACTGGTATCAAAAGAGCCGAAATCGGTGGATGCGGGTGGGCGATAAAAATACTAAATTTTTCCACGCGTAAACAAAAAATCGACGGGCTAGAAATCGGATTGTAGGTTGATTCGATAAGTATGATAAATGTGTTACCGAGGATAAGGATATAAGTGGTGTGGCTATATCTTATTTTGAAGATCTTTTTATTTCGACTAATCCCCAAGATTTTGAGGATTATCTTCATGAGGTGGCGGCAGGTATCACGAATGATATTAATAATTTTTTAATGGCCCCAGCTACAGAGAATGAAATTCATAATGTGGTGTTCATGATGTTTCATGATAAGGCACCAGGGCCAGATGGGATGACAGCTTTGTTCTTTCGGAAAGCATAGAGTGTGATAAAGGAGGACCTGGTGAATTTGGTTGATTTGTTCCTGACGTCAGGGGTTTTTGACAAACGGTTAAATCAGACAAATATATGTCTTATTCCTAAAGTGGACAGACCAACTAAGATGGCAGAATTGCGTCCGATTAGCTTGTGCAATGTCGGTTATAAAATAATTTCGAAGGTGTTGTGTCAAAGGTTGAAAACGGTACTCCCAGCCCTTATTTTGGAGACCCAATCCGCCTTTGTTCCAGGTCGGCTGATTTCAGATAACATATTAATAGCTCAGGAGATGTTTCATGTAAGAGCAGGTTGTAGCAATTAAAACGGATTTGAGCAAGGCATACGACAGGGTGTAGTGGATTTTTATTGAACGCCTACTCAGATAGTTCGGATTTTCTAAGAAATGGATTGCGTGGATTATGTATTGTGTCACCTCGGTAGAATATCGCGTCCTTATCAATGGTCAGCCGCAAGGTTTCATTCATCTGGGGAGAGGGTTGAGACAAGGTGATCCGCTATCACCATACCTTTTCATTCTTTGCACGGAGGTACTAATTGCTAATATCCGGAAGGCAGAGCAAGATAAACTTCTAACGGCAGAATTGCGACCCGATTAGCATGTGCAATGTCGGTTATAAAATAATTTCGAAGGTGTTGTGTCAAAGGTTGAAAACGGTACTCCCAACACTTATTTTGGAGACCCAATCCGCCTTTGTTCCAGGTCGGCTGATTTCAGATAACATATTAATAGCTCAGGAGATGTTTCATGTAAGAGCAGGTTGTAGCAATTAAAACGGATATGAGCAAGGCATACGACAGGGTGTAGTGGATTTTTATTGAACGCCTACTCAGATAGTTCCGATTTTCGAAGAAATGGATTGCGTGGATTATGTATTGTGTCACCTCGGTAGAATATCGCGTCCTTATCAATGGTCAGCCGCAAGGTTTCATTCATCTGGGGAGAGGGTTGAGACAAGGTGATCCGCTATCACCATACCTTTTCATTCTTTGCACGGAGGTATTAATTGCTAATATCCGGAAGGCGGAGCAAGATAAACTTCTAACGGGGATTAAGGTTGCAAATAAGTGTCCGCCAATTTCTCACTTGTTATTTGCGGATGATAGGCTTTTTTTTTTTGCAAAGCAACTAAACAGGAATGCATGGTTGTTTTGGGGATTCTCAACGTTTATGAAACAATGTCAAGACAGAAAATAAATTTTCAAAAATCGTCGTTACAATATGGTCATAAAGTGGATGAATTGAGAAAAATTGAGATACAGAAAACTCTTGGAATTGTCAAGATAGGGGCCATGGGTTTATATCTTGGTTTACCAGAAAGTTTTGGCGGAGCTAAAACGCAGTTTTTTTCCTTTGTACGGGATAGGCTACAGACTCATATAAATGGGTGGTCAGCCAAATTCTTGTCCAAAGGAGGTAAGGAGGTTATGATTAAGTCGGTAGCAGCAGCTTTACCAACCTATGTGATGTCTTGTCTTCGGCTCCCAAAGTCGATAACAGCCAAACTGACTTGTGCGGTGGCAAAGTTTTGTTGGAGCACAAATGGTCAATCTGGAGGAATGCATTGGCGCGCTTGGGATAAACTATGCTCTAGTAAGAGTGATAGTGGCTTAGGATTTCGTGATGTAAATGATTTCAATAAAGCCCTTCTGGCGAAACAACTTTGGAGACTGGTTGATTGTCCGGATTCCCTATTCGCAAAGGTTTTTAAGGGAAGATATTATAGAAATGCTTCCCCATTAGAACAGGTTAAATCATATTCTCCTTCGTATGGATGGAGAAGTATGATATCAGCTAGATCTCTTGTTATGAAAGGACTCATCAAAAGAGTAGGAACAGGGGACTCTCTATCCGTTTGGACGGACCCTTGAATTCTAGCTCAATTCTCGAGACCAGCTATGAGTAATGGATTGATTATGGATCCTTCACTTCATTTTTGACAGTTAATTGATCATCAAACAAATTCTTGGAATCTTGATGTGTTACACGACCATTTTTCTCCGGAGGATGTCTCTTTGATAAATGCTCTTCCGGTTGGTAATTGCCCTATCCCAGATTCCTATGGCTGGCATTTCACGAAGAATGGTACATATACGGTTAAATCTGGTTATTTTGTTATTGTTATGTATATCTTTTTTTTTCCTTTTTATGCCAATATAGACAATACTCCTATTAAATAAATCATAAAAGAGAAAAAAGTTACAATTGCACTAAACAATTAAAACACAGAAAAATAATGCAACACTATTAAAAACACAAATATAATCTCGAATGGAAAAAAAACAAATGATAAGAAATTCAAATAATACAAACAATTCAAAAAACACAAAATACAAAGAAAATCATATTATAAAAAATATGAGCTATACCAAGAACAAAAAAAATCAGAATACGAAACTAATGGAACCATATACTCATGTAGAGGTCGAGACTCTATATTTATTATTGAAATTGTGAGAAACTTTTCTCACAAAAGAAAAGGTAAAGGAAATAAAAAGAGTTAGGGCTAACTGCATAATTATCCAACTTAGTTTTACTTTTTAAAAATAGAAAATTTTAATCAAACACAATACTCACAATAGATTTTGAAATATTTGAACATAAAAATTAACAAAAAATTAAGTATTTCGTTTTTAAAATCAATAAAAGTTCAGTTATATATTTCGATTAGTTTTATATCATTTATTTTTTATGATTAACGATTTATTAATTAACTACTCGAAACAACGTCGTCCATCTACACTCCTAAACTCCTAAACTCAAAGTTAGATGCCTTTCTAACATAACTTAGTTTTATGTTTTAAGAATACTCATACAAAATTTCATAAACAAAAGACAAACTAACTAACCAAGATATCAATAAATAATAAACAAACAAACAAACAAATAAATATATCTTCCTAGCATCATCTCCAATTTCTTCATTTAAAAAAAAATTTCCCGATCGAATATCCTAATATAGACAATAGTCCTTACATAAACCATTAAAAAAATTAGAATTGCAATTAACAATCAAAACACGGCAAAAATAATACAACATTAAAACACAATTATATATTATAACCTCGAATAGAATTACAAACTCATAAATGGGTGATAAGCAACTCGAATAATAGAAACTATTCGAAAAACGCAAATACAAAGATAATCATATTATCAAAATATGAATTAGACCCAAAAAAAAAAGAATTTAAAAAAAAGTCAGAACTACGAAACTAATGGAACCAAGTACTAAATTAGAGGTCGAGACTCTATATTTATAGTTGAACTGTTAGGGCTAACCAGTATAATTATCCAACTCGATTTTACTTTTTAAGATAGAAATTTACTCAAACACAATATGCATTTTGATTATTTTTATATCATTTATATATTATGAAAATGAAATATTAAATTTAGAAATATCTCCATATTTTATAATATATCTTTTATGTCCATAATCTTATTATTTTCCTTTTTACATTAAAAACTTAATAAAGAAATTATTGTAATTTAAAAAAGTTAACTAATGAGATGTCTAATTATTATTGGTCGTTTAAAATCCTATGTAGCCACCTTCAAAAGCTTATAGCATCAACTTTTCTATAGTATAGATTATATCTATATTATTACTCTATATTGTTACTTTTGAAGTACATTTTTGTGACCACCAATGTTTTAATTTGTTTTCCAACGAATGCCCTCTAATTTATCCTAATATGTGTAATATCATTAAGGTTAATTGAGTAATTAGTGAAGTCGGGTCGGTTCTTTACATCAATTTATAACCCAATTGCATAAATCGGATACAAATGTGTATCTACAATCGAATGCCCTTCGCATGTTGTTAATCAATGTTGACTCTTAAGGCTAAATATGTCATTATAATACTCGGTAGGTTTATCCAAACAATAAAAATTTCCTAATTGCACAAACCCGAACATTAATTACTGCCTTAGTCTTCGAATATATGATCATTAGTTATTCCTTAATTCTCCTCTATATACGCCGACTATATCTCCTAATTTACATACAATCATAATTACAATCGCATAAATAACTACCAAAATATTAACTTCATTCCAAAAGTTTTAAAAATCTCTGATATCAAACAAAAAATGTTAGCCTTAAAATTCTTACCTCCAAATTAGTGTCAGTCAAATATTCATAAATCGCTCTAATTTATTAACAACATTAACTGCAGATAAGTATATCTGCAGAATATGCCTCCATGAAGGATATCGATATCAATATGCTAATAGTTCAAATGGTGAATCTCTGGAATATGCCTTTGGGTACAAATGGCTCGAGAACTAATTTGAATTAAATTTTATTTCTAAATTCTGATATTTTTTAAATAAACTAATATGCATATTCGTCTAATTAATGAGAGAGAACTAATGATATAATACTTATTATGTATGTGCTCTTAATAATTAGTGATTTTAAATAATTATTAGTTATATTTTAAGTTTGCAATGAAATATTGTATGGGTCTAAATGGGTTTAGCTGAGTAAAGATAATTTAAATGAGTTGAAATAAAGATGATAAATGGGAAAAATGTCAAAAAATCCCCAACTTTCAAATTATAGATGAAAAAAGCATGAACTTTTGAAATGTCATTTAATTTTAAAGTTTGGTTTGACTTTCAGATCAAATGGTCAAGTTTCATTGACATGACCATTTCGGTCATGATGTTGAATTATTACAAACAAACAATACATCTACAGATATATACACATAAACATGTATATATATATATATAATATTTATGATTAGATATACAACTAAAAGAATATCAAGTTCAATAATTATGATAAAATACAATGATGATTATTAAATATAAAACTAATACTAATATTAAATAATTATTATTACATAAAATAACAAAACTAAGACAAGTATGGATTACAAAAATAAAATTATTAAATAAAGCAATGAGTGATATTTTACTACTAATAAATAAAAAAACTAAGAGAGATTACATTTATTAGGTACCAAACTATATATGCCATTATTGCGAATGTTTAACGTCATGCCCGAAATAGCCAAACAAGGTTTGAAGCTAACTGAGATGTGGTGGCTGACACCTGGCACCTAACCTAATTAATAGCTTTGTTACCCATATTAACATCACTAGCTGCAAGTGTATGGTACGTATCCTCAAAATATAAGTTGTGATATTAGTGAAAAAATGGATAGTTGAAAGTATACTTCTTCATTATATTCTGATTCTTCCTCTTCCTAATCATCTTCCTCACTTTCCTCCTCATACTTTCCATTTCCTTTTATGTATAACATTTGTTATTATGTGGTTAAAAACATAGTAAAGAATTAAAGCTTACTAACTTTAACCAAACATATATCTCCATAAGTCTATGAACTGACTACCTGAAACAACTTCATTCATTTGACCTTCTAAACTTGAAATTTGATAGTCTCGAACTTTGTTGCACGTCTTCAAGATACTCCTACCAAATTTCAAATTATTTCGAGTACCCTTGAATGTTCATTTGTTGTCTCCACGGGACTGGTAAGAAGTTAAAGAAGCTTAAAATACACACAAAAATGTTTAAATTTATGTAACACCTTTTAACCTATAGTAATATCAAAAACATGTCATCTTTAGTTATATATAAACTAAAGGTTTCCTTAAAGAGGTCATGTCATTACTTGTTTCTCAGTTTTCTTTCCCATATATGCTAATCAATTTCTCTCTCTCTCTCTCTCTCTCTCTCTCTCTCTCTCTCTCTGTGATGCGGACATCAAAACTAGATATAACCGGGAGCACACCAAACCGGTCTAATGGAGAATTTTAGAGAGTATTTGCCGAAATGGAGTTTTGATCAAGTACAAGGCGAAGGGACTGGTTCAAGAAGGATCAAAAGTCAGCAAGTCAACTCACATTATTGTCGGGATATGACTGTTGCACTCTTTTTCCCTTGTCTAGGATTTTTCTCAATGGGTTTCCCTAGAAAGGTTTTTAATAAGGCAACACCAAGTCATCAAGGAATCATTCACCATCCATATGATTCAAAGATGATAGCTAATGTACATTCTGATCTACTCACTGATAAGCATGCTGAACTACTCGCTGACAAGCACGCTGAACTATTTGGTGACAAGCATGCTGGACTACTCGGTGACAGACTTGCTGAACTACACTAGATTGCAAGCAGTAAGGATTTTAAGTATTTCGACACTTGGATAAGCCATGAATGGATCCCCCACACTTTATTTGATTCACCACAAAGCCCCAACCCATGGACAACAACCCAAGAGAAGACCCAAGTCCAAACCACCCTTTGATACAGGGCCGTTGATCTACTTGGAGCAAGATAAGGAAATTATCCTTTGCTTTCATTTGGATGTGCCCCAAATCCATATATGGAAAGCATGTGAATATTTAGACCACACAAGACTTGTACAACACGACATTTGGTACACCTTGCCACACAAGAACCCAACGGGTCACTACTTACCATACATGGAGCCAAAAGAGATCAAGCTGCAAAAATCCTTATTTATTCACTTGTGCATGTTTGGAAGCTTCCTAAAATAAACTTAGAGACTCCAAGGTGTCACGGATTTGCACCCAAGCTTTCAAGACTCAAGGCATCTCTCTACTTGCCTTATTTTGCCGCTTTGGTTCATAAAGTTTCAACGGCTAGTGTATTTAATTTTGTGCGATTTGTTTCTTGTTTTACATTATTAGGACGTGTAGCTGAGCCTATATAAGCTCGTTATCATGTTCATTGTAAACACACCATTGATCAATTTAAAGTAATAGAAAGTATTATTCTTGGCAAAGTTTGAGTCTTTGTCATTGTTGCTCTTTAATTATTTATGAGTGAGTCACTTAGTGCTTTAGAAACCTGGGGATTATTTTTT